TGACAATCTGTGGGGATTTAAAATGTCTTAAATCTCAAAAACTAAAATTTTGGCCTTAAAGTCTTAAATCTACCGAAATATTTTGTTGTAGTTTTAAAATCGTTGTTTAACAGGTCTTCATTTTCCTTCATGTTCAGCTACCCAATCTGGACAACACCCGTCCCATACAATCACCAACAATCCATCTCAATCAGACCTTAAACTTTTCATTTAAAAATGTAATTTTTAACTTTATTTGCCAGAGTGGTTTGACTATTTTCCTTGCCTTTATTTTTTTATTTTTAAATTATTATTTATTTATTTATTTTTTATTGTATTTAATTATAATAATTAGTTTGATAGGGCAAGTGAAAATCTTTAACAACTGGGATATTAAAAAAAAAAAGTGTCCTTGGTGTTTAGCCCTGTACAAGTCTAAAATTTCATTCATAATGGTCTTAAAAATGTCTTAACCTGGAGAAACCCTGTTAGTGGTGCGTGATTTTTCAGAATGCTGATTTACATCTTTTTTGGGTAAACATTTTTATTAAATGATAATTACAGAATTAAAGTAGAATTAAAAACAGCATTTATTTGAAATAGAAGTCTTTTTAATGTTAGACATGCAATTACTATAACTTCTAATCAGTTTAATATATCATTAATATAATTTATGAATTGTATATTTAATTTGTATAGAAGTATTAAAAAATCTATTTTTACACCATTTGTATTAGGGCTGCACGATATTGGAAAAATCAGATAATGCATTTTTTTTTCTGCGATAAATATTGCGATATGAATGCAAGATAATTTAAAAAGCTTTATTTGACCAAAATTAAATAATCACAATACGAAACATATATTTTCTTTTTGTCTCATTTCATCAGACATTGTGGGGTTGTGATACATTTGAGTTGCTTCAATGATCTTTAAACTCCCTCTAAAATTAGCTGTCGTTTTTGTTTTATTTACAAGTGAAAGACGGTTTAGCTCGGCTTGAGGTGAAAGTTGTTTGGTTGCTTCCACGTTTGGACTGTCAAATTACATTTTTGTCTTCGATTTATTTCCAACTCGAGAAATGCATGTAGCAAAAGGAAAAGTAAAGCAAGTGGAAAATAGAGAAAACCATTTGCTAAATGCATTTTAATGTACAATTTAAATAGCTTTTTAAAAATGCATTTAAAATTATTTATAAATACACTTTTTTATTGTTTGACTAATCAGCGTTTTAAAACATGATTTAAAACATTTATAAAATTGTCTATTTATTTGTACATTTAAAAACTATTTCTAAATGCATTGTTTTATTGCTTTATTTAAGGACATTTAAAATAACTATTTAAATAAACATTTTATTATGTTAATTTATTTGTCCATAATTTGTTTATTTAAATTGTGATATAATTATACACAGTTTAATGCTTCAATTATTAAATTGATAATTCGATGCTTCATTTTTGTTTTCAAACCGGCACTCCTGGTCCTCTATACGTATCTAGTCAAAATATGAAACATTCTTTGAGCAAGTAAAAATATTGTTTCACCATCAGAAAAAAAAAGTGAAAAAAAAAAAAAGTTTTTCCTTAAAACTAGCAAAACTATCAGCCAGGGGGGGAAATAAAATAATCTTGTTTTTGGTTCGAAATGAAGATCTTTAGACTAGAAACAAGTCAAAAATTCGAAGGAACATTTTTTTTGGCTTACATCTTAGTAATTCTGTATAAATGCAGTGATTAATACAATACTGTAGCCTCTGGTCAACTATAATACAGACTATACAGACTCAGCATATCTCGATGTGACTATTGCAGATATGCACATTTCGATTTCGATACAATATATTGTGCTGCCCTAATGTCATTATAGTTTTTTTTTTTTTTTTTTTAAAGCTTAAATGTCCTGCTGTTTGTCTGGTTGCTTGTTCATTCATTCATTGTTTTTACAAAGGCATTTCAAAATTTAATTGTAATTGCTGGGAAAACAATTTACATTTTGAAGTTAAAAGTACTTTGTAAATGCTCTTACTAAGTTCTTTCATACAAAGTTAATCTTAAAAATGACATTGAATTGACATTAGTTCATTTGTATTTTTCCCTTATCATTTTTTCTTTCATTTTTCAAATTCAGCTCACCCTCTGGCATGATGAGAGCTGCATTTTTAAAGAAACATTTTTAGGGCCAAATGTTATACGAGTTGGGACCCAGCATATCCATCCTAAGTAGTATATATATATATAGACCTCCTCTCCCTTTACATTAGGAAAATTTCTCATGTTGGCCTAATTAGTTGGCTATGTCATTGACCAGAGCGAAAGGTGGCAGTAAAGCGCCAAAAAGTTTGTTGTCATCCATCGTAATACAAGAAGAAGAAATTTGCATTCTCACTGTCATATAGGCTGCATCCAAAACCACATATGTCCTTACTATATAGTACCCTAAACTTCCGGCGAGATTCTAAAGTGTACATCCCATGAACGCTGCGCTAACCCATGATGCCCCGCGAGAGAATTCAGGAATGGGAGTAAAGTGACGTAACTGATGTGAGTAGGTCACTTGACCATGACTAAATGCTGAATGTAGTACGTTCGAATTCCATTCATACTGTATAGAACGTACTTTTATAATGGCCGAGTAGTATGTTTAAATTCAAATGCAGTACCTACTGAGTATTAGGTGGTTTCGGACACAGCCATGGATTTACTTTCATCAGCTAGACACCGGCCTCGCAGCTCAGTGAATGTTGGTGTTATCACTTATTGATCCACAATCGGTAAATGTAGCTTGTGTGGACGCTACTGCGCTACTAGACAAAAAAAAATAGCTTTGCTACTGAAAGAAAGTAGCGACGCTATACTGAGAAATTTAGTTGAGCTAGTAGCGTCACTACTTGTAGCGATGCTACTGAGCAACTCTGTGCAAACTCTTCTGTTACACACTCTAAAGTACAGTATATACTTTTCCTTTACAAAAAAGTACATACTTTTCCCAGAAACTTAAAGGACAACTTCTACTTCTAAATTCTCCACTACCACTAAAAAATACTTGCATTAAACAAGTTAAACAAAAACTTCAGCCCAGCTACACCCCTTTACCATTATTGCGTCAAAATGGACGTGTCAGCATGCACTGGTGGAGGGTTTCACATTTCCTGTCACATCTTTGCTTGGGTCACATTAGCAATGAGGTTTGGAGAATTGAAAAAGGCCTCATGCTCACACATCCCATTCAGATCTCCACCACCAACCCAACCGGTTCAAACCAACTTCCCTCAGTATCATACGTTCACTGCCGCAGAAAACAATGCAGACAAAAGTTTCCTATTGCTTTTCTTTAGGCAGAAAACAAATACACAAACTGTAAGTAAAAGTGTCATTTGATGTGTGCGCGCACACACACACACACACACACACACACACACACAAACACACATCGATTAAACGTGTAGATGGATTCCCAAACCACACACAAACCTGTGGAGAAGCCAAGCCAGACACTCAAACACACTCACACACATGCAGAAGAAACTAGTAGGTGTTCATTATTCATCATGTATTCTTCACTGAATGTGTGTGTGTGTGTGTGTGTTGCTTGGGACTGGTTCACACAAGTCTGATACTTCTGGGCAAATGAGGTTAGGACAGGTTTCAAGCCATTTCTCCTTCTTGAAACAAGAAAAGGAGGAGGGAAAAGCCCACGGGCCCTGGATGGGTATTCCAGCCGGTGTATTCTTTCTTTCCCCTAACTTTTGTTGTCTCCCCCTCTTCGTTTTCCCCACAGGCGGCCAGCTCTGTGTTGTTTTATGTACATGTCCCTGGCCGTTTCTTCTTGCATGTGGATTCTTTGTCTTTTGCGTCTTATCTCTTTGTTTCTTCCCTTGCACTCTTTCTATTTTCTCTCCTCTCTCAACTTCCTGCTATCTCTCTCCCCCTCACTCACACCCTCCCTCAATCTCTCTTTATCTCTGTCTGTTTCCCTTCGCTCCCTATCTCTCTCTCTTTCTCCATGTCCTTTCTCTTTTCCCTCCCTCCCTCCTTCCCTCTCACGATCTCTCTCACACACACACACACACGCGCACACACATCTTTCTCTCACTCAGACGCACATATACTGAGTCTCCTACAATGCTTGATTTTCTCTCTCTTTCATGGATTGCCCTTTCCTGCTCGCTGATGAAAAATGTCCTCCACTCTACGGTATACAGCACAGTCCTTCACTCAGGTGTGTTCCGTCCCGTAATAGAGGCTCTTTTGTGGGATGGCCCAGCGTTAATAAGCTCGCGGGAGGTGTTAGACTAATCCCATACCTCTTCCGTAATGAGGATGAGCGGGAACACCTCGGCACACTCCCGGCAACGGAGCGGGCAGGTAGAGCCTATCACAAGCTCCCTCAGGAGGAAACCGGAACTTTAATAGTTAATATCTTTCCTTGCTGTTTTTCCCTTTTCCTCTCTTTTCCCCCTGCCCCCCCTCTTCACTCATCCACTCCCCCTCTTTTTCTCTTGCTGATGGACTCCTCTTTTTTTTATTTTCACACTCCACCATCCCCCTTTTCTTCTTTTCTCTTCACTATCTCTCTCTCAGGCTGCTGAAAGTCTCTCTCTTTCACTGCGTTCTCTCTTTCTATCTCTCTTCCAGTCCTCCTCCTCTCGAGCGCTCTCCCTCCCTCTCCTCTTTCTTTCTGTCTTTCTCTCTTTTCTTTGACCTCATCTTTTCTTATGCTTTGCTCTCCCTCCCCCAGTTCCTCTCTTCCTCCTTTTTTGCTGCATTCTCTTCTTCTCTCGCCCTCCCCCACCTCTTTTCTCTCTCTCTCTTTCTATTTCTCTCCCATTCACCCCCCCTTCCCTTTCCTTTTCTCTCTATACCTCTCTGTCTCAGTCCCCCTCCCTCTTCCTCTTATTCTCTCTCTCCCCCATGTCTGTCTCACTCCCTCCCTCTCTTTCCAAACTGCTTTTCTTTCTTTTGTCACTCAATTTTTTTTTTTTTTTTTTTTTTGTGCTCACTGGTTCTCAGACGTCGCACAGGCGTCTTGCGGCTTAATTATTTGAGATGCGCAAATAAACAGACCTGTAGAACTCCTTCCGGGAAACATTTGGCCGAATCTCACTCACTGTCTGCCTGACACTGACAGGCACACCTCCAGCGCACCAGTGATTAGAGATCACTCTGTGTGGACATGCAGGCTTGAAACATGTGTCTTCTAAAGAGAAGAGAGAATGGATGTACGTCTGCTCAGAAGTGCGCTTTTGTTAGTACGAGCGAAATATGTTTGTTGAAGGGTCACGCTGTATGGAGTGTGTGCGTGAGAAAGAGATACACGCAAGAGAGAGAGTGAAAGAGAAAGAAAAAAAGGAGGGAGTGTGTGGAAGGGAGGGTAGAGAGACTGAAAGAAAGAAGGAAAGAAAGAAAGAGAATGGAAGAAATAGGTTTGTGTGTGTATGTGTGCGAGAGAGGCAGGCACAGTCAGTTCTGATAACAGCAACAGTAGGAGGAGGATGAGCTTGGCTCCGCCCCCTTACCCTCTCGCAGCTATAAATAGGAGTTGGTGTTTTTTGCTCCTCTCACTTCTCTTGAAGGATGAGGTCCCTGAAACATCTCAAACATCACACCAGAAGTAATGTGGTGAGTGCTCATCTCAAACATACACTCTGTCTGAAGTGCCTTGTGTTTATATGTTGACTTGAACTGTTGGTTAATTGCTGTGGTAAAGTTTGCAACTCTGAACTGGGGAAATGAAGTAACTTTTTTTTCTGTCACAGAATACTGTAAGAGTGTCATGTCTACTTTAACCTACCTCTTTTTTTACTTCTCAAATCGTCTCTACTTTCAGTGCAGAGCATTTCTCTAGTTTTCAGTTTCTCAGACTCGCAAAGACAGCAACACTTACGGGTCTTTACACTAGCGAGCGTCTTAGTTTTTTATCTATTTTTAAATTCAGTTCAGATCCTCTCATACAGTCACGGCTGCTATCTTGCCTGACTGCCTCTTTCATTTGTCTTTCTGTCTTAACACTCTTTCTCTTTCCTATTCCCTCCCTCTTTCATTCTCATTTCTCACCCTCTTCTTTTTTTCTGTTTCTGTCTCCTTCTTAGTTTCAGTCTTTCACTACCCCTCCTTCTCTCTTTATCTCTCTGTTGTACTCTCTCACTCACTCACTCACTCAGTTTCTCTCGTCTCTCATCCCCCGCTGCCCCTCCCTCCCCCACTTCTTTTCCTCTCACTCTTTCTTTATCTCTCTTTATCTTTCTTTCCTCACTCCCCTCCCTCATTCAGTCACTCACTCAGTCTATCTCTCATCCCCCAGTTCCACTCCTTCCCCCTCTCTTCCTTCTTTCACTTGCTTCCTCAATCACCCTCTCTCTCCCTAACTCGCTCTTTTTTTTGCTGTCGGTTTCTCCCTCCCTCAGTCTGACTGCTTTAAAAGCAGTAATTATAAATGACATGGTTATCAGGGCATCCAGGTTCCCCTTCTCATTTCTTGCTCACCCCAACTTCCCCCAACATCTATTTTTTTTCCCCTGTCTCTGCTTGTCTGTCTTTCTCTTCTGCTGTTTTACAGCTGTCAGTCTCCCTCTCCCTCTCCCTCTCTCCCTTGTGGATGCTTGTTTTGCTTTAGCATAAATCCGTAGTGTGTGGCTTTCTTTTTCTTTCCAAGACAAATCAAGGTACCAACTCGTTAGAGGTGATAATGTGCGCTAATGACTTCCCATGCACACACACACATTTGCTTGCGTAAACATAACAGTTGTTTGAATGTTCTGGTCATCTAGAACAGAAGAGTGGTAAAGTGACCTGATCTTAAAGTTCAATCAAGTCGCTTTTAATTAATCTGTATGTTAGAAACATATTCGTCATACCCAAAGGATATATTCATATGAGCTAAATCTAACTGGATGATGTTGGCTTTAGTCTGCAAATTGATGGTAGTATAAAAACTTCACAGTCCAGCCTTTTCGTAGTCGGCAGTGGCAGTGCTTGACCTCGCAGGAAATGCTGTGGATAGTCCACGGAAGTACACTTCCCGCTCGGACCCAGACACTCTTTGTGTTTCTCGTTCTTTTAAAGACTGTGAAGGAAGGAAGCATGGCGCTCCAACAGATCTGTCTTATCTTTTCTATCTAAAGCAATTCTCACAGAGGCAAGACATTGTTAGAATATGTATCTTGCTGTGTAAAATAGAAGTGTATGTGTATGCAATAATACCTAGCCAAAACGTCAGGTGCTGCCATGTTGCCATAAATTGTCTGATCAGAGTTTTGACATCGATTTAGATCTAAATCAATTGTTAAACTTGATCTAAACCTCTCATTTGTTGCCCGGTTGTTCTGACACTCATGTTGATGTGACGCTATTGCTATGAATTCTTTTCTATTGTAGTGACACTGTTTCCATGACAGCCTTAGCCAGACTTTCTTGCAACGACTGTATTGTATTGATGCTTACTGTGGCAGATTCACTTCATGATTTCATGAAATAATGCTAAGACCTGTTCTTCTCTCTGTTGACAGGAAGAGCAGGAAGTTCCTCTGGTCCGTTGCTATTCTAAAGTGATGGAGCATGCGGTAGATGTTAGCACTCAAACTGACCCGGTGGTGGTCCTGTCCTTGGCCCAGGCTGCTGTGCTGGGCCTCATATCGCAGAATGAAATCTTTGGCGCCACAATTGCCCCTAACGGTTTCTTCACAGGAGAAGGACGTGAAGGTGCTGCTCCCCATGGAGAATCCATGGAGTATGAATATGCAGATCAGCTAATTGGAGCTAATGGAGATTATCTATCTGAGCCTCATGGGGAGAACCGGAAACCTGAAGGGGTCTATGGGGAAGAGCGCAGACGACCGGGTCCCCGAGGGAGGACCAAGAGGCCCTTGACTGAAGGAGAACCAGAGGAGTCTTCAGAGAGGTCTCTGGAGGCACAGAGTCACGTGAAAGGGGAGAGGCCTGACTTCTCTATCCCCTGTTATCTCTCAAATCCCCAGCAAACTGACAACGAGCCAGAAGTGTTGGATCTTGCACCTCAGAGACAGCCAAAGAAAGAAGAGCAGTGCAACAAAGGGTACCCTGAACCCTCAAGAGAGCCATGCAGCCAACAGGTTGACTCTGACACTAAAGTATCTCAAACCCATCAAATTCAAGTGGGGCATGGAAAGGTGCTGGTGGAATCATCTGAGGAACTGCGGGGAAAAGAGGAGGAACGAGAAGAAGAGGATGAGGAAGTGGAGGAGAGAGCACTGAACCTGAAAACCACAGACGAGGATGTGAACCCAGCTATAAGGCGGTACTATGAATCCAGCATGACAGCATATGAAGCTGCTGAGATTGGTCTGCCGGGAGATTATGAAGAGGGTGGCCAGCCCATGGTTTGGGCTGAGAGTGAAAACTCCCTCGGTAGACGGATGCAGATCGACCGGCTAGATATCAACGTGCAAATTGACGAATCGTACTGTGTGGATGTGGGTGAAGGTTTGAAGAGATGGAAGTGTCGCATGTGTGAGAAGTCCTACACTTCAAAGTACAACTTGGTTACGCACATTCTAGGTCACAATGGCATTAAACCACATGAGTGTATGCACTGTGGGAAACTCTTCAAGCAGCCCAGCCACCTTCAGACACATTTGCTTACTCACCAGGGCACACGGCCACACAAGTGCACTGTCTGCAAGAAGGCCTTTACCCAGACTAGTCACCTTAAACGCCATATGTTGCAGCATAGCGACATCAAGCCTTACAGTTGCCGTTTCTGTGGCCGAGGCTTTGCCTATCCTAGTGAGCTGCGCACCCACGAAACCAAGCACGAGAGTGGACACTGTCATGTCTGCACACAGTGTGGAATGGAGTTCCCCACACATGCTCACCTCAAGCGCCACCAGGTCAGCCACCAGGGCCCAACAACCTTTCAGTGCACTGAATGTCATAAGTCCTTTGCCTACCGTAGCCAGCTTCAGAACCATCTGATGAAGCACCAGAATGTGCGGCCCTATGTCTGCTCAGAGTGCGGCATGGAGTTTGTGCAGATCCACCACCTGAAGCAGCACATGCTTACACACAAGGTACTGACACAGCAGGCCCCCGAACACAAGGTACTTGAACCTCATTATTAGTTTATTTTGTAATCTTCCCCCCAACCATCCTATTAGAAATTACTCCCCAAAGACTTTCAGATCCAGAACCCACCTACATTGTCAACTGCTACATATTTTCATAAAACCATAGGTTAATGTGTCTTCTTCAGTTGTGTCTCTGGTATTGCCAAAGCAAGTTTCAGTGTAAATAGAGGCATTTCTGTCAGTCCCTTCTAGCCATCAGCCCACTTCCGACCCTGTCATTTACTCGTTCTGTTTCTCTGTCTCTTGCACTAGTATGGAGCTGTTTTGTGTGTGCTTTGTGCAGTGAAGTGCGTCTCTCAAGCTGATACTTCCTTCTTTCATTTTTCTCTCTCCTTGAGTATGATTCATCTTATCATGACTGCGGTGTCAGTAAACAGAATGTGCCACAGGTCAACAGGGTTATAAACAAAAACACTCAGCAGTTAGTCATACCTTTAGCATTTACATCAACAGTTGTCTCATTTGGTTTGGTTGGTGTCTATTTTCATTTATTGCCATTAGAGATAATCATTGTCACTCATAAATAAGAGCATTTGATGATTTCAGAATAGTTTCTATGCTATATAGCATGGATCACCAAACTTGTTCCTGGAGGGCCGGTGTCTTGCAGATTTTAGCTCCAACCCTTACAAACACACCTGAACAAGCTAATCAAGGCCTTACTAGGTGTACTTGAAACACCAAGACAGGTGTGTTGAGGGAAGTTAGAACTAAACCATGCAGGGCACCGGACCTCCAAGAACGAGATTGGTAACCCCTGCTATATGATCAAAAATCAGTACCTGACTATTGCTTTAGTAGTAAGCTTTATAATTACTAATGATAATTGGCTTTAATTTCCTCTTTAACTTCCTTACTTTTCCTTGTTTTCACCTAAAGTCTCTCACCTAGACATGGGAGCATTAATACAGGGATTTGATCCCATTTAGACATAAGGATTAACTTGATCAGGTGCTAAAGTAGGGTGATGTGGCCCAGTCAAGAGTCACCATTCCAATTCATCCCAACAAAGTTTAGTGGTGTTCAGGTCTGGGTTTTGTGCAGGTCAGTAAAGTTTAAGGACCCTCCCCAAACTATATCAACATACTCTGAAGCTCGTAATTCCCTCATATAGTCTCTACTAGAATTAGGGGCTAGATAAACTATAAAAAAAAGAGATAGTCATCAGTCTTCCTGGCACGTAGTTTGTAGATTCAGTGTTTTTTCATAACACATGAATGTATGTCAGCACAGAAGTATTGTTAGAATACACTGGATGTATTTACTGACTGGTCAAGCTGTTAAGATGAGAACATTTAACCTTTTTCATTGTTAATCTTTTAGCTTGGTAAAGCATCAGAGCTCACACTGCAGTGTATACACATCTGTTTACCCTGCAGCACTGCGATAACGGTGAATAAAGTGTGTGTGTGGATTTTCTTTTTTTGCTCTGTATTATGAATTCTAGTGAGCAAGCAAGACAGACACCCTACTGATAGATTCAGCTGCGCTTATGACAACTAACCACTTTTTCTCATTCAGCTGATGCCAGTGATAAATCATTTTTGTTTTTGCTTTCAGAAACCAATATAAAAAAAAGGCTAATTGCAAAAGTTACATTTTAAGGGGATGGTTGCAATGGAATCATCTCTAAATATATTACTGTTATCTTTCTCTCCCAGGGTATGAAGGAATACAAATGTGACGTCTGTTCTCGTGAGTTCACCCTCTCTGCCAACCTGAAGCGACACATGCTGATTCACACCAGTGTGCGCCCTTTCCAGTGCCATGTCTGCTTCAAGACCTTTGTTCAGAAACAGACACTTAAAACGCACATGATTGTCCACTTGCCTGTGAAACCTTTTAAGTGCAAGGTAGGTACTAAGAGCGCTTCCATGCAGAGCCTCCCTGCTGGAGTCCTCCAGACAGTCTATTTTGCTACTTGATATGGCCATGCATCAAAAATGGAGCTCTAATAGTTTCCAAACTTGTTCCCGTAGGTGTGTGGGAAGTCCTTCAACAGAATGTATAACCTGCTGGGTCACATGCACCTTCATGCCGGTAGCAAACCCTTCAAGTGCCCTTACTGCACCAGCAAGTTCAATTTGAAGGGTAACTTGAGTCGACACATGAAGGTGAAACATGGAATCCTGGACACCTCAAATGAAGGACAAGGTAACAACATGCTAATTATGCTAATTTTCTATAGCCTAGAGCAGGGGTGTCCAAACTTGGTCCTGGAGGGCCGGTGTCCTGGAGAGTTTAGCTCTAACTTGCTTCAACACACCCGCCAAGAAGTTTGTAGTATATCTAGTATGAGCTTGATTAGCTGGTTCAGGTGTGTTTGATTAGGATTGGAGCTTAACTCTTCAGGACACCGGCCCTCCAGGACCGAGTTTGAACACCCCTGGCTTAAAGGTTTATAGAACTGTTTATGATGATACTTTGTAGACTTGAGGCTGATTATCTTTCTGCGTCAAGCGGCATGCAACGCAGCTCCAGCACAGCCTTTGCGCAGTCTCAAAGCCCTCACCATGGCTGATCCCCCCCTCAAAAAATGTAACTACACATCACAACGACATGTAGAGCAAGCTCTGTGATTGGTCAGCTTGGTATCTTTGATGAGTGTGGGCAGTGCTGAGAGCCGCAAGTGTCGAGTCCCATGAAGGAGCTCCCAATGGAAACTTGTTTTGTGTTTACCTTATGATTAAATTTGTTGCATGTCCGCCGCATCTCACCTCTGAATGAGGAAGTTTTAGCTAATTTTACAGTCAGCTAGCATTACTCCTGCAAAGAAATTCGACACAGAGGACCATAAAAACTTACTGCCAGCTAGTGTTTCGGAAATGTTTTGCAGAGCAACACAAACAACACGCAGTAGTATAAATGCATGACTATGTGCAAGGCAGGCATTGTGGGTCACGTCAATAACTTGACGCAGAAGTATAAATCACTTAGTGATTTATAAAGTATAAGTCCTTTATGGAGTGGACGTTGAATAAAATTGGATATTTAATATAAATTAAACATTTCTGATATACTTATTACTGTTTTTTTTGTTATTTTATAAAACAAACACTTTACTTGAAGGGGTGTTCAGAAGACTGTCATAATAACTTTATAATTATTAAACAAAATGCGTCACAATGTTTGAGATGTCTTGATTATAAAAACTTGACATACAGTACATCATAACCTGTAGTTGTCATGACAACATTACCAAGACAACATAACTCGTCACACGATGGTCATGAGGCCATTATAATTGTGGTACTTTTCAAACTGAATTTATTATTAAGATTTCTCAATAAAAAGTATCAATACTATGTCAATTTTACAACCGCATCATTAACATTTTAACAACAAATTCAATTCGAACTAATGTAATTGAGGTCAAGAAAAATATTGATGTATGTATGATGTTATTGACCTCATTATTGACGTATGAATGGGCCCAGCCATTTGAATCTTTTTGGCTCGAGACTTCCGGTCGCATTCACTTACATTCATTTTCATTCGTTAAAAGCAGCTTGTTATGCTGCTTGCATCTTTTTATGTATAGTCATAAACACTCTTGTTTGTAGAACAATTAGTTTGATCGTTTTCTGTCGTTTATTATTCCTAGTAATTTCTCCTATAGGAAACTCAATAGAAGTTCTAAAACAATGACAAAAACGATCATTTTTTCGCATTAAAGAATAAGGTTAATAAAGTTCATGACACTTATAATGGCCTCATGACAAGTCATGTTATCTTGGTAAAGTCACATTGTTATAACAAAAGAGTGGTTATGCATGAGGTTTGTACAGTTTTATAAAACACCACCTTCAATTAAAATGTTTCTGCAAATTCAAATTTACATATACACCGAGAGAAAGAGTCAAGCTAGCCATGCTATTAGCCAGGCTTACATTTTTGTGTCTCCAATTTATTTCTCCAGACACCCAGCCTGATGCGGAGAGTCAGGAAGATTACGAGGAAGAGAGCTTTGATTACAGCGAGAGGGAAAATCTAGCGAGCAACAACGCACAAGATATGGCCAAACTAGCCAAAATTAGCTACTACAACTACACCAAGGTTCCTGCTCGCTACAACACATCGTAAGCAGCTGACTGAGACACTATGTGGTTTAAGGCTGGGGAAAAGGACTAACGGTCATTTATGTAGTACTCTTGGCTCTGAAGTGAGCCACTGAGGATATAGCCATCATGAAGTGGATGTGCACTGGAAGCCATTTTGGCTCTGAGAAACAAAAGTGACAGCGGATTCATTTTAACAATGTCATTTTACATAAGGGATCATCTTGAAGTATTTTTTCTGTTTTTAAAGCCCATGTTCCTTTATTTGGACCATCTTAAAATGCAGTTCTTAATATATCCTTCCTGAGCCCAATTTAATGGTGGAGTGAAATGATATGTACAGAAATAAGATGACACTTGTTATATACAGACAATCTACAGCTCTAAATCGAGATTGATCTTGTTGGTGGCCAGCAAGTTAGATAACACTTTATAGGACTTAACCAAAGCTGACAAAAGTGCAAATAGTGCTCATTGCAATAACTTCCCCAGAATTTTTTTTTTTTCATTATAACTGACTTTTTGACAAGATTCTCCTCCAACATTTCAGAGTTTGTGTGAATTTTTTAGTGCCTTTTTTGTTTTATATCCGTGTTTCTCAACCACATTCCTGGAGGACCACCAAAACTGCTTGTTTTGGATGTCTCCTTTGTCTGTTACCCCCATTTCAGGTCTTTCAGTCTCTGCTAATGCAGGGTATATAGAGGAATGAGAGATTGAAATTCAATACCTTTTAAGAGATTTTTTAAAAGACTTTTTGCATACATTTTAAGACCTCATCACAACTTCAGGTATTAATTAGTAGCATTGCTGACATTTTAACTTGCACTATATTTAATAAATACTGCTTGCAAGAAACTAATAGAAAATGTTAGTGAATCAAAATGAATAAGTGTTAATCCAGCAAGTGGCGCTTTCACAACAGCAGAAATACCAGTGTTTCCCTGGTTACTGCAGTAAACAAAGCAGTGTGATGTCAAATCTAGCAGGGTTTATTTGATTTCATAAACTACACAGCATCGCAATATTCAAAAAATAAATTCAGGCAATCTTTAGCATACTGAAACCAAGTTTAATACCTTTAATACTTTGTAAGACCATGCGGATCATTACAGGACACCCTGTAATGAGTTGATTAGCTGAATCGGGTGTGTTCGCTTAAGGCAGGGATGTCCAAACTCGGTCCTGGAGGGCCGGTGTCCTGCATAGCTTAGCTTCAACTTGCTTCAACACACCTGCCTGGAAGTTTCTAGTATACCTAGAAAGAGCTTGATTAGCTGGTTCAGGTGTGTTTAATTGGGGTTGGAACTAAAATATGTAGGACACCGGCCCTCCAGGACGAAGTTTGGACACCCCTGGCTTAAGGAGACATGAAAATGTGCAGAGCTGGTGGTCCTCCAGGAATGTGGTTGAGAAACACTGTTTTAGATAATGGGCCATGCCTTGGCATTTGATCACTGTATGGCCTTCTGGAGATTTTCTTTGTGCTTAAATTATTGCAAATAGTATTTATTGTCATTATTTCTTGGCATTCACAAGTGTAAATACATTGCCAGTGTTACAGATGGATGGGTAAAAAACGCAGAAATTAAGCCTTGGGTTTAGTTCAATCTAACTGCATTACTTACACAAGTGCATTGTTTGGTCCATCTTGAAAGTGCAAGTCTTTTGTCTAGAATTTATATTAAGTTAATGAATGTAATACAAATTAAGATATCCCTTTAAAGCATTTCATATGTTTATCCACGTTTCAGCCCCCTGAAAAGGATTTTTTTCGTTTGTAGTCTGTTCTTGTACAACGTACTAGCTGACTGTGTGGGCTAAAACTGATTTCATTTTTAAAATGTGGTGATCGTTTTTTGCCGTGACTTATTCCAAACCTCATCCAATTTAATCTCCTTGGACATAAAACCTTGTAACGTGTACAGCATCTTTCCCAAAGTCACCAATACTGGTTGAATCTTGATGAGGATGCCCTAAAAACACTGGACAAAAATATTAACTGCCCTTGTGTGTGCAAGAGAGTGTCTCATCCATCATTCCTGCGCTGCGCTCAGGAGTGATGAACGACAGTCTGTCGACATGTGACAGGACTGGAGACCCAGCAGAGAATGATTGGGGAAATTCACCACGTATTCTCCATCTAGCTAGGCAACTCTAAAATGTTAAATGTGTAACATAAGATTTGGTGTATTTCTATTGTTTTAAAATGGTTGTTGTCCTTGCGTTTTGGGCTGTTAGCTCCGAGCTAGGCAGGAATTTTAGTTTTGTATGAGCTTTTAATTCTTTTGTTGCACACTGATGTGAATATAACGGTGATAAATGTGTGTTAAAACATTGTGCTATGGACATTATTGTAAATGAATACATTTATTTACCTTTAAACATGTGTGAAAGTGTGTTATAAATGATGCGAGACCAGGGTTCCAGGTGACTTGGTGATTTATTAGAGGGTTTCTCACATGGCCCTTGAACTTTCCTTTTCTCCTGTGGTATTATACAGTTTCTGACATACAGTACTTCATCTTACAAAAATAGACCCCTGGAGGTTCGGGAAGAGATGGGAGCGACCCATCAGCAGGATTAGCTAACAGAACAGCTAGGAACATCACTATTGTTTTATTACTCCTCCCTTAATACATTATGTTGTATTCATGACCTTTAAGTTAAAAATGAGGTACAAAAAGACAGACGCGCTCCGCGGTGTCCGGGCCTGTTGTCCTTCATTTGCCCAGAGCCTTGTCCAGGTTTGTCTTGATGGCATCCAGGAAGTCTGTGGTGTTGACGTAATGCTCATTCAGCTTGCAGCTGTGGTCAAAGACAAGACGGATGTTAATGACATCAGAGGTATTAGCTAGAGAAAAACTTAACTATGGATGTCAGCAGTTTCATCAATAGGGCTAGTCCTTTAAATGGAGGTCAAAGACATTAGACTGGGATCATTTATACATGCTCCGGATAATCTGCTGACTTACTTGGCGAGACCGTGAATGCAGCCGGCCAGATCCTTGGTCATAACGCCGCTCTCCACAGTCTCCACGCACACACGTTCAAGAGTTTGAGAGAACCTGTGGAAAGACAGAAGAAAAATTAATACTTACACTTTCTTATAAACGTTACTAATATGACAGGAATTCTGCTGTAGTCAGCCTGCCATTACACTACAGATATAATACAATAAAATAGGTGTGAAAGTGCCATTATATTATATAAATGTGCCAGTCACCAAATGGCCAATAACATGTTTAATTTCTTATATCAATGAATGAGTACGCTATATGGGTTAGAATGATTGTGCATGTGCTGAAAGCTGCTTATAATGTGCATTTGAAAATGCAACAAGAATCAAACATCTTCCCCAAATTGTAATGAGAATAAAAAAAATAATAATAATTAAAATATTTATATAATATAATATATATTATATATAATATTTATAATAATTAAAATTATTATTATTATTAGGAAAATAGAGGTTTCCTTACAGATTTACACAAGAATAAAAGCTCTGGGTGGTTTATTCAATAGTAAATAATCACAATGGTACTTTTTCATTTTAAAATATTATTTTAACATTTAAATACCAATTTCTATTTCAATAATTCTAAATTAGTTGAGTTTCCCCAATTAGTTTTATTCCTGTTGAAGCCAATAATCCACAGGTTTTGACCATCGTAAATGGCCAGTACATATTCTTAAGTCATCGCCCATTTGGAGGTACAGAAAAATGACTGGCAGCAATAAATGGGCTTACTTGATCAGGTCTGGGTTTCCATCAAGTTTGCCACGGTGTTCCAGTCCTCTAGTCCATGCGAAGATGCTGGCAATGGGGTTAGTGCTAGTTGGCCTTCCCTGTTAAATAAAGTTAAACAAAACACAAATACACTTTACATTTACATTTTATAATTACCGGCAACAAGTTCAGGGCTCTAGCTTTCACTCTAGAGAACTCTCGAGAAATATTCTGAACAGTTTAAGACTGCATGAAACTGGGTAAACATGCAATATTGTGGAGCATTTGCAGTAATACTCATTGCATTACAACTTTTCCTCAGTTTTATTATTAGCTATTTTAAAATCATTTAAATGATAATAATACTAAAACAGGTCATAGAGATTCTGATTTAATTCATGGGAATTTTAAAGAATATGATTGACTGAAATGTTTTTTAGATATTGTTATGATTACTTGCTGTTGTCATCGTTCTTTCGCCAATAGTATTTATTTCAGCTCTTAGCTCTGAGGCACTAGGTTCACTATTGGGCTGGTCTAGCCATTGGCATAACTGACAGCACCTACTGGGGAAGTGCGCCCAACTGATTGATCAAATTTAGATGAACAATCTATTCATGCAACACACAAATGATAATGAGTTTTAAATAAAAAATATTCTGCTATATTGTGCAGCCCTAGTTTTTTGGGTGGAAACAACAATCATTTATTTCCAGGAATATTCATGTATGTAGACGTGTATGATAAATACATAAAATATTCTGATCATACATTATGGTTTGCCAGGAAATAAACTAAATGCTTGTGTATCCCATTTGGCACGGTTTAACAACACCTAATATTTCCAAATTCATGCACAACAACAAGTGCTTCATAAAATAAAATAAATGTAAAAAAATGATGCTTAATTCTGCAATTTTTCCTCTCACCACAAGATGGCAGAAGGCATCTAAAATAAACTGAAGGAAGATCCAGCTTGCTTTATTTCAAAATCATCTTTCGATCATCATCTTTGCTTTTTAGATCAAACCGAAAATGTATCTGAAAAGATAATGAAAATTAGCAAGGCAATACTTTGCAATACACTAACCTTCTGGTGCTCACGGTAATGCCTGGTTACTGTGCCGTGTGCTGCCTCGGCTTCAATGGTCTTACCATCAGGACACACCAGAACTGAGGTCATCAAACCCAGAGAACCGAAACCTGCAGACATCATTCAATATTCTTTAAATCACCTACAAATACAATCATTTATCATTCATGAACCCAGGAAAATTGATCATGATTTTCCTCTTTGCTGTCTATATAAACCCTGACAACTAAAATGACTGAATATTAGGAGTGAAACTGAATACAAATTCAGACTTTTCAGTTTGGTAAGAACGTACTACACAAATACAGCGAAACATATAGTTTAGCATGTCTTCGTTTAATCTGATTGCTTTCTAAATCCCAATATTAAACTTTTGAACTGGAAACAATAAATAAAACTTCTTGAAAACAATATGCAATGTAGCCTTTACCTACATTTTACCTCAATAAACTCAACATAAGAACATCTGCAAATATTCGGCAATGAATTCATTACATTTTACCTGTTAGTAATCCGTAATGTATTTAAATAAGTGAGACAGCCACTGTGTAAATTGTTTCTACAACAAGTTAAAGTAGAAACAATGTAGATGTTATCGTAGAAGCTTACTAATGTGCAACTAATTTGCATAACATTGTACTTAAGTGTTGAATATTTTTAAAAATCATGAAATAAAATTAAAGTATTATTAAAGTAAAAAACATTATTCAATATCGAGATAAGTATTGAATCATGACTAGGCCCACACGGAATCTGTGTGCTCAGAAATCTGCAGATTTTTTGCCAATTGAGTATTTATTTACTAGTTTCAATGTGTGTAAATTTATATTTATTCAGTTTTTAAATTAATTTCTTTAATATTATTGACTAATATGAAAATGTTCCTTTGATTTATTTACAATATAGTTTGTAAAGTAATATTTTCTGTCTTTTAGTAGATATGTGAGAGACTTGCTTTGGTTACTAAATAAGTGGATCTAAGTTGATTTACATTGTAAACATTAAAGTTAAAAAGTAGTAGTATTTTTTGTTTCATAAAATAATTTTTAGTTACGATACTCCCAGTGCTTCCCACAGGTTTGAAATATACTTGCGGTAGTAGCCGGATTGAAACACATCGTTTACCCATAGCACATGGTTATCTATATGCAACAAAAAAGTGATTTTTAACAATATATTTTTATTATATTTTTATTTTTTAAAGCTTGTTGAAAAAAAAAAAAATCAAGTGATTGTTTTATTTTTATCTTATTGTTATACTTTTATTATGCCATGTGCACCCACTGACAGGTAAAATCTGTTGCTGACATTGGCAATACCGTGCAAAACATGTTATGTATAAAATATGTAATATCAACATCATCAAATTAAAAAAATACATACAGCAAATGAGAAATAAATGACAAAGCAATAAAAACATCTATGAAATAAAAAAGTGTAGATTATTTAAAGTCAAATGAGTTAATTAGCCATTTCTAATGGTGTACAAATAATATCAGGCTTAAAATAAAAATGACGATGACTCAAAAAGCGAAACCAAAAGCAGAGTCCTGGACATTTTAGGAAATTTTTTGAAACGCCGAACGAACTTGGTCTCTGCAGAGCACACAAGATTGTGACAGTTCTTGCACACACACATGGAGAAGTAGTAAAACGTGTAGGACGAGAGGAGATTTCCACTAGTTAATCGATCATGGTTGTTTGGCTATTGGGCAAATACAAAAAAAGTGTAAAGGGATAATAAATGTTTTTTTTTATTATTATTATTAGGTTCAAATATACTTAGGCGGCCAAATATACCAAAGCAACCGAGTAAAGTCTATGTGTGGGTAGCACTGACTCCCAAAATCATTGTATAAAACCGCAGATTCATGACTTAGGTCTATGTTTAAACCACGTGGCAGAGATCTTTTTGAAAATTGTAATCATTGAATTTTAGAAAACACTTTTCTTTTTTTTCTGGAAACTACGGTTTACTTAAATATAAGCATGTGTTCAGTGTTAGTTTTGTGCTGTAATAAAACATACTGAGGCATGACTTCAAAACCATGATTTTTGTGTACATTACACTCCCACTGAATGTATATTTATCTATAATTTTACCCTGAGCAAGAATGTCCGACTGCACATCTCCATCATAGTTCTTGCAGGCCCACACAAAGGCACCGGATGACTTCAGCACCTGAGCCACCATGTCATCAATCAGTCTGTGTTCATACCAGATCTTCAGCTTGTCAAACTCTGGCTTGTAGTTTCTGCCCATGCAAAAAAAGATGCTTCAATATTTTGCATTGAAATTACTTTGCAAGAAAAGTGTAGTTTCACATGTCAACACTGTGACAGCATGTCAGAGCGCTAATCTCATAATTACACAGCAACAAACGTTCATACAAAACACAATGGAAGTGCGTAAATAAAGCGTGCCAAAGACTGAATCGAATCCTCCTCACTTCTCAAAGATATCCTGGAAGATGTCCTTGAATCTGCCGTCATAAGCCTTCAGGATGGTGTTCTTGGTGCTCATGTAGAGAGGCCATTTCTTCTGGATGGCGTACTGGAAGCAGCTGTGAGCGAAGCCGGTGATAGACTATTAGAAAGGGAGGAAAAGACACAGTGTCATAAAGCTGGGCAAAATAAATGTTCCACTTTCACAATAGGGAATTCAGCTGGAGGAATTTCTGCAACGCTGGCTGTGCAGCTCTAATGGGTGAGCAAAATCACTCACTTCAAATATGAAGTAGAAAAGATGTAAAAAATAAATAAATACATTTCAGGCAGACACTTCATTCAGTAAATCTCCTTTGAGCTGGCAAAAGAGCCCACCATCCTCTTCATCTCTGGAGCAGCCTTAAGGCAGACTGTTGTAAACCCAAACAGAGCGTTCCTCTGACAACAAACAAAGACCTCAGGACACCAGGGTTCACTGTGGGTACATCATCTATAATCCAGACCTCATCCCTCTGAAGGTGTATGCGAAGAACATTACAGAATTTGAGTTTGAGGGCCTTAATTATACAAACTCAGAATACACGAGACAGTCTAAAAATGTCTCTAATTTAAGGTGTTATTTTTACACCTTTAAGACGGATCGTCAGAGTATAAGCTCATTAACAGGAAGACATTTTTCAAATTCATACATGCCTTTGCCTTTATCTCTAGTAGCTGTGCTCTATTAAGTTCACATTTGGATTCATTGTAATGAATGGATTCTTTGTTGGATGACGTAATTCAGAAAGTGCAAACATTAGGGGTCCCCCAACTTTCTCATCCAGTCATTCCTTTTTGCTGAATTTTTAAAATAAACTTTTAATTAATTGCAATTATCTGCATATTTTCAAAAAAAAAAAAAAGAAAAAAAAAGTTTACTTAAAATATTTTTTTTAGTAACATTACATAAACCATTAATTGTCATGTTTGTCCTACATTAAAATGTTACTTGAGATATTTTACTATAAATGCATTAGGGCTTCATGACATTGAAAAGAAGAAAAAAAAAAATGAACATTGCCATATTTTGTATTTCTGTGATTTACTAAATATTGTGATATGACTATAATTTCACAATACTCAAGTTTACAATTTGTTACCGTTTAGAACGACTCCAAAGAAATTTAAAGGTGTTTTACATTGACTGGTAAAATTTTGTAGGGCAGTGCATCTTTATAAAATATAAAAAATATTAAATTAAAGAAAAAAAATTAAAGCAACAGTGCTTTATGGTATTCAGTGGAATCTAACAATACAGAAATTCAATTATCCAGTCCCTCCAGGCTTTCGCAAGACTTTTTTCTGAATTTTGCGGCCTAAAATAATTGATTTTGCTGTGTATTTCCTCATATTTGTGGCCTTATTTTGGGTTGATTTGCTGTAAAAAATTATACCATAGACAAAGGTCTTTATTATATATATATATTTATTACTCCTAGACCCAGACACTGGGTTCTGTAACTTAAATTTAAAGGATACTTTGTTTAAAAAAAAATTTGTATCCATACAAAAATTGTGTGCACAACAGCTCTAAGACCAAAATCCACTGACTCATAGTACAGGTCTCATGTAGGCCATCCCAGTAAAAATTTTAAATAAATGTTTTTACATATAGTTTATTTGTTATTAGTTTACACTTAGATAATGCTTGACAGGCCAGGTTTGGCAAACTGTCTTGGGAGAGAACCCTGAGCTCGGAGATAAAGGAGCCCAGGGCTCCCGCCTGGTCAATGAGCATTAGGAGGGATGCGAGATCAGGTAGTTCTCAAGAGCTTCATGGCAATAGACTGCCAACCATGCCAGTGAATAAGTATTAAGAGCTTGTGACTTTTACTATTATTTAATTCACTTGTCTTTAGACTGTGGGAGAAAACTGGAGTGCCCGGGGAAAACCCACATGAACACAGGGAGAACACGTGAACTCTGCACAGAAAGTGCCGACTGACTCAGCTAGTACTTGAAACAACAACCATCTTGCTATGAGGCAGCAGTGCTTGCCACTGAACCGCTGTGTCACCCGATACTAGAATTGAGGAGGTGGGAGAAGGGATGGATGGTGGGGGTCTTCCAAAACAAAAATAAGGAATAAAGTTAGACTGGATATTTATGTTAAATTTGGAATGATCCGATTGGATAACTAATGATTAGCAACTGGGACCAGCTGCAGTCAATCCTTTCACGTGCTCCTCTCGAAATGAGTTTGCAAAACTTCTCTTTCGGCAATTTTGGCTAGAATACAAGCGGCTTTACATTTTTTTAAAAAAACATTTTAAGCTCAATATTATTATCTTCCTTAAGCAATATTTATTTTTTCGATTGTCTACAAAACAAACCGTCATTATATAATGACTTGTCTAATTACTCTAACTTGCCTAATTAAACCAGTTATGCCTTTAAATGTCACTTTACGCTGTATAGAAGTATCTTGAAAAATATAATGTACGGTCATCATGGCAAAGATAAAAGATGTCAGTTATTAGAAATATGCGTTCAGAATTGTGTTGAAAAAATATGCGTTCTATTAAACAGTAATTGTGGTAGGAGAATGAGGAGGTCTAATAATTCTGACTTCAGCTTCAGGTACTGATAATTCAATTTAAAACAACACTATATATAATCTCAATTAGGGCTGCTTGATTTTGGAAAAAATCATAAATCACAATTATTTTGGTCATAATTGTAATCATGATTATTCAAAACGATTATCAGTTGAAGTCAAAATTATTAGCGCTCATGAGAATTTAGTTTTTTAAATAACTATTTCCCAAATTATGTTAAACAGAGCAAGGAATTAACAGTATTTCCTCTATTATTTTTTTATTTTATTTGTTTTATTTTAGCTAGAATAAAAGCAGGTTTAAATATTTTGAAACCCATTTTGAGGTCAATATTATTAGCCTCCTTAAGCAATATATTTTTTTAAAATGTCTGCAGAAGAAACTACTGTTATACAACTTCTTGTTTAATTACTCTAATTAAGCCTTTGAATTGCACTTTAATTTGAATGTTGTGTTTTGAAAAACATCTAGTAAAATGTTATATACTGTCATCATAGCAAAGATAAAACAAATCAGTAATTAGACATGATATATCAAAACTATTATGTTCAGAAATAAGTTTAAAAAAAATTTCAATTTAACTTTCCATTAAACAGAAATTGGGCAGGAAAAGGATTGCTAATATTCTGGAGGGCTAATAATTCTGACTTCAACTGTACATATGTACAGTTATTTTCCACCCTGCAAAGGAAAATGAAATAAATACAATAGAATAAAAATATAAAACAAACTGTGATTTAAGCATCTTCACCCTAAGAAAAACACTTTAGCTACAAAAATCCTTCAGTCAAGAGCAGTAAGGGATGTTCTCGTCGTTTGATTAATGATAAAACAGGCGGCAGCATTTCGCACTGTCACTTTAATGGTTTCTCTTTCACGTGTCTTTTGATTCTCAACTCGTTTGTTTATTACGCAAATGAGGGTTAATATGAATAATCACTAATCACTGCGTTTTAACACCTATTTGACCATTAAAGCGCTCATGTTAAGATTACTTTAGATGTCTGCGCTCCTCAGCTCATCTCAGTGTGCGAATGAGACCGAATGCTGACCGCGTGCTTATGCGTGTGCGCGTGTTGCACACACACATAAGCACGCGGTCTTTCGCGCTTTTGGTATATGATGCAATAATCATTTATATCGATTAATGGTTTTTCATAATCGTTAGAAGCCATAATCGAAATCGGATTTTCGATCAATTGCACAGCCCTAGTCTCAATTTTATAAACAATGAGTCGCAGGCCTTAAAAACACCACGTAAAACACATCCAAGTAAAAATCAAATCTTAACATTTGCGACTTCACAAATCGAGCACAGAACTGTGATTCATAATTAATAATATTACCTAACTGACTTTGCAGATCCTGCTATAAGATTAATGCAGAAGCGCAGATTGCAAGATCAATGCAAAAAATGATGTATTGTACAGCACCTAAATGT